TGAACTAATTAATATATTATTATACATTTCTGTGTGCACATGTTTGTGTTATTTAACATATATTATTATACAAATTAATATAAAAATAACTTAAAGTAAAATTTTTTTATTTTTGGTTGCGTGTTCCCCTATCCCTATTTACTCTATGTTAAAATAACCTCTTTTAATGCTGTTTTGTTTAGCGCTTTGTCATCTAGGAACCCATCCCCCGTGTTAAGCGGGGTCTTTCTGTATATTTAAGGATTAACATGTCTAGATTATAGTACTAAGTATTAAAACTTTATCACGAAAAAGGATATTTAAAAAAAAAAACATCTACAGATACACTTTTAACTTTTTACTTAAAAATAGATATAATCATTTATTATAAAGGAGACAAACAAAAATTTATTTGAAAAACACAAATATTTGTTTTATTTGAATCTCTAATTAATAATAAATGATGAAACACCATTTTTAAAGTGCATTTTTATTCAATTAATATATTTATAAATAATATGTAGCCCAAAAAGTAGCCAATGTGCCAAATGACATTTTTTATGCCAAACTAAAAAACAGGTTGCCAAATTTGATGCAATGTAGCCAAATCTTGCAATGCTGGAAGAATACTAAATGAAGTGAGGAAGGTTGGAAAATTAAGTGTCAATATTTGCATAATAGAAGGTCTATTTAACCTTTCTCACTACTTTTTATCTTTTGGCCTTTCTCTCCTTTCCCCGAATTTGGGTCTATAATCCTTTGTCACAACTCCAGCTTTATTTAGTATTCCTCATTCACACATTTCCAAGTATTCAAAAATATGTCCTTTCTACTCAAAAATAAAATATGTATAAAGGTTTATGGCTTTGTGAAACTTCTTTTTTGAGTTTATGCCATTAAAATAAATAAATAAATAAAATTTAAAAATTTGTCGGTTTTGTTTAGATGTTTATTGGGCCGCATTGGAACTTGCCTCGGGCCGCGGGTTGGACACCCCCGATGTAAATCATTCTTTTATTAGGAAGAAAAAAGAGATAAGGCTACTGTAAACTATAATGTATGAAAATAATTTGAATATTATAAAATATTATATTGAATGTTATGTTAAATAGCAACTTCTTAAAGATTGTAAGTAGGAGGAATATATTTTTACTTTATAACATTTTAATAAATTTTAAATTAATTTTTACATCAGTAAAATTAAAGGAACTGAAGAGGGAAAAATGCCCAAAATGCATATTCCTATATGAAAGAGTACCTCTTGTTGAATGTGGATTCTGAAAAACTATTACATGAGTTTCATTGAATATACAATCTGACATCTTTTAAATCTTAATAAATTCTTCATAGAAAAATCTGATTTAAAAAATCTTTATACCTTTATAATTAATACTTTTATACCTTTATAATTAATTATTTTATACAATAACTTTTTATATTTTCGTAATTATAACTTTAAATTTAAATAATTTCAAGATAATTATTTTAATGTTTTATTTGATATAAAAAAATATTGAAATTAATATAAAAAACAACCTTTTTCATAGATTCTTCACACCATTCATCCATCCACTGAACACTGCAACATTTATACAAAGAAGGATTTCCTTCACAATGTAAATGAAAATCAGAACTGGTAAAATCCATTACTAAAACAATATGAAGATTTTTTTTAACTTCTGAAAAATATTAAAAAAATTTTTAAATTATTAATATTTTCTGTGTAATTTAAAATTATTTTAAAAGTACTTTTTAATATAAATGAAATTTTTAAGTAGCGTTAAAGATTTTTTATATTGTATAAAATAAATTTAAGAATCTGAACTTTTAAAGTTTTTGAATTTTTGTAATTTTTACATAATTTTATAAATAATATTAGTTAAGGTAATTTGTTAATAAGTATTATTCAAAAATTAAATTTTATATCTTATTCTTAAATAAAAACAGATTGATTGCATAAGTTATTAAAATATAATATTGAAATTAAAACCTCATCCTGCTTTAATTAATGTAATACATTTTTATAAAGCTATTCAGACATATTATATAAATGAAGTTTTAGTTTAGAAAATTTAAATGGCAAATGGAAATTATGATTCAGATGGATTATATAAAATAAATATGATTTATTGTTACTGAAACATCATTGTCTACAATTAATTATAAAACAAAAAATAAAATCAATATTTTATTGATACCCAAATTTAATGAAATATTTTAAAATACTAATTTATNATAGTTTATACATTAAAACATCGGGCTAAATTTTACCATATATTATATTATTACCACCATATATATTATTTTATATATTAACACCATATAGTATATTATTATTGTATTTATTTATTTATAACTTTATTTATAAAATAATTTATTTATATGTTATAATACGTAATGATCTTTGTATTCAACATCGTTTAAATGTTCAAAATTAGAACACAGCTATGTTCGAAAACTGTTCAAAAGATAGAACTGTTTTTTCTATTTTCTGCATTTTTCCTGACAAGGTCCTCTGAAAGACGACCAAAAACGTTTGAACATTAAAGTTTTTTTGTTGTTCATTTGCTGGAATTAGCATTTAGGTGTGAATTGATTTGTTTTAAATTTGGATTTTTTCTAAATACATAATAAAATTAAGTGGCAAAAAATTAAAAACCACTTCATTAATCTTTAGAAATCATTAAAAACAATATACTATTTATGTATCAAATATAAAAAGTATTAGCAATAGCGTAGCGAGGAAGCAAGGGGGGTCTATCATGCCCTGGGCACCACTTGCAGAGGGGTGCCAAATGGTCTCTAAGACAAACAAGATTTGTTTCTGGAGGGGGGCACCAATAAAGTGTCATGCCCCATCTGCCAGTTATGTTTGCTATGCCACTGAGTATTAGTATAGTATTTTTTTATGTTTATAAAAAATTACATATTCCGTTCTTAGCAATGATTAAATGCAAACAAAAAATTATTTAAAATATAAAAAAATGTTTATTAAAAATTTACAGAATAAAATATATCATATAATGACTGTTGTGTTTTAAATAATTAAAGTGAAAATAGAAATATACAGAATAAAATGCTATATTTCAGGAGCAAAAAACCAATGTATTACTATTTGATCATTGGAATTATTAATATATAAATAATAATAATACCGATTTTTTATATAGAGGAGAAGGTGGTATTATGGAACCCCAATTACATTTTAGTGAATTGTAAACAAGGTATCATAACTACACCCACATTTTTTGTGCGAAAAGTACTGGTAACTAGTAAACTAAATGTTCCTAATTGGATTTTTCGCTAGTGTAATTATAAGTATGGTTTTTGAAGGCTTTTGTACAAAAAGTCCGAAAGTAGGCTTAGAGAAAATCGGGTGGTAATATGGAACCTTACTGTATATTTTCA